GGGCTATATATAGTCAGTAAAAAATCATGATTTCGGAGTGTTTTTGAGCACTTTTCATGGTGGTTATTTGACACGTTAATAAAGTTTCTATTCTATTCTATTCTATTCAAAAATCACGATTTTGGGGCGTTTTTGAGCACTTTCCATGGGCTATATTCCATCAAAAATCACGATTTTTGGCTGTTATTGAACACTTTCCATGGGTTATAGTGCACCAAAAATCACGATTTGGGTTTTTTTTTATTTCCCTTGATAGCGTGATTCTCGGACAGGTCATTGCGTTTCACCGAGATGTTGTCCTTGTTATCCGGAATCCTTGAAATCCATGTTCCCTTCGTTTTATTTTCCGGTCCAGTTTTCTCACGTCTGCGCATGCGCCTCTCTGCCATTTGGTCATGTGATCTATTTTTCTGTTCTCCGCGCCAAAGTCAAATTCACTTGGGACCATAMAGACGCGTGTTTTGACAAGAAAAACAAATTTTTTAACAGGTGAGCATACTTTCTAATTCAAAATTGCGATGTTAGTATCATAATCCCTATAAATAATGCTAAAGAGGCGTTGATAAGAGGAACTGAAAGCGATTTATTAAGAAAACAGTTCACAGCCTACACTTTTGTATTCGTTTTGATGTAAACAAACTTTTTCTCTTGAAATATGACTTATTTCGACAATTGAAATGAAACTAATATTTCAGTGATATTTCTGTTGTCTTTTTTTGATTTTACCATTGAGATATGCAAAGAACTCATCGATAAAAACCTTGTTTTGTTTGCTCCAGTTTTGCGCGCCAAAACACGAATTGACGCCATGTTGTCGTGTTTTCTTCTCACGCGAACAGGGATTGCAATGTTTGTTTTTTCGCAGTTATGATTGGTATACAAGACGTKATGAGAGGCAACGAACACTGCACTTTATCAGAAAAAAACCTGAAAGATAGGAATATCACGGTACGGTCTTTGTAAAATTGCAATCTGTCATGTGGCATATATATCGTGGAATACTTTTAAGAATATCTCATTTTTTGCTTCCWCTGTGCTTGTAGATTGCAGTTGAGGGAAATATAGGTAGTGGAAAGACTACTTTACTCAAGTACTTTAAACAGAATCCCATTGTTGAGGTATGAAAAAAAGTCAATATCGGTCACGGTTTGGTAAAACAATGATGATGATCGCATATGATTTCTGCTGGCATGGTCCAGTAGATTTTACACTTCTATATAGTGTCCTTCTTACGTAAATGTTAATAAAAATGTATCCATTTGCAAGGTCATTGAAGAACCAGTCAAGAAATGGCARAATGTTGGTGGTGAAAACCTTCTGGTGTGTAAGACAATATTTATTTGATGGAAAACTCGTGCAAAAAAGATTATTGATTTGTGCTTTTTTTAGGGCTTGTTCTATGAGGATTGCATGCGATGGAGTTATCTTTTTGAGTCTTATTTTCTTCTTACTTTAATGCAAGTCCATAAGAAACCACATGTAAGCAATGTTCTTTCCTTTTACCCATCTCAATACTGCATTGTATTTTATGTTGTGGTGTGATTGACCTATGGTGGTTCCATTCCTCTACAGACCAAACCAATCAAGATGATTGAACGAAGTGTATACAGTGGTTACTACTGCTTTGAGCATAACCTATGTGTAAGGTAAAACATGTTGTCTTTCTAAAAGGTGCTGGTTTACACATATGACTTGATGAGTATGTGTCATGTGTAACTTTCATATTGCAAGTGCGCAAAATGTYTTTTAGTTTCAAAAGTTGAGACAAGTGATGGGTTGCACACTYCTAGCTGTAAACAGCACTGTCTATCAAAGGCAATTTCATATCTTGACATCAATAAATCTACCATTTTTTGAATGCAAACCCCAAAAAAAGGTTGTTTGTAAAGTTCCACATGGCAATTTATCATGTTTGTTGGCTTTAACTTACAATTTTGCTTGTGTTACATCTAATCGATTATGTACAAAAGTATGTTTACTGGTTAATGTTTGTTTTTTCTATCTATTGTAGTGGCTTGATGTCACAGACAGAGCACAGTGTTCATGATCACTGGTTCAACTGGATTACAGAACAAGAAAAACCTGATCTTGATCTTATTGGTAGGTTGTCATGATACTGGTAGCCCTGCCTTCACTGATGTTTTAGAAGTGGAACATTAAAATGAYATTWTTTATTCAGTATATTTGAGAACAAGCCCAGAAAAATGCATGGAAAGAATCAAAATGCGTAATCGAAATGAAGAAACTTCAGTATCTATGGTTAGTGTACTACATGAATCATATGATTGCAGTCCTGWGGGTRTGCTRMAGTAGGAAGAGTTGACKGTTAAATTTTGTATCAAGRCAGAAACTCTCCATTTGACATGGAAAATATATTATCATTTTTAGGATCTACTAAATGCTTTACACGAGAGACAYGAGTCATGGCTGATTCGTAAAGAACACCCTCTACCTGCACCAGTCCTAGTAAGATATGCTTTGATAATACAGTTCACAACCAAACAAAAAGCACACAATATACCAAAGATTAGACACACAKARATAAYACTACAAAGTACACTTCATAGATYATGCCATTCAGTCTTACATGTGCTGTAATTTGTCAACCCAGTGTGTGATTTGTTATATTTTTTCAAGCCCTATTTGGAGTGAAGGTTGTAATTTTTATTCAAAATTTGATGAGAACATTGTTCGCACAAATTTCTTTATTCTCATCACATTTTGACATCTGTTTATCGATACAGACTAAAAAAGGAATTGTAGTTTGTTAAATAAGTGATATTATTGATTAATGAGCTGATTGATTGACAGGTTGTTGATGGAAACAAAACCCTAGATGAGATGTACAGATACTATGATACTAATTGTGACAGTCTTCTGGGGATCAGCCCTCCATACCAGTCTGTTGGTGTCAAAGTCAATTGAGTCCATTTGCTTCTTAATTTTTTGACTGGGAATATCATTAGGGTACTGTAAATTTTCTTGTAGTATAACTATCATATATTATGAATGTAATTTTTCCAAAAAGCAACCAATTATATTAAATATATGCTCAATGTGTAGCCTGTTTGCCTCTATTTCAATTGCTTTCCATAAATGTAACAAATGCCTAGTACTACTGATGCATATGTATAAATTCATCTTTAACTTGTTTTCTAAGTTCTTCACTGCAATACAAATCAATAGCTGTCATTGCTAATGCTTTAGATGCTAACAAAGTCTTTTGGTGAGCAATGTCAGTTCCTGCAGCAGCTGTAAAAGCGTATGAATGATTGACAGCCATACTATCAATACTGTA